AAAATGCTAGGCCTCCTTATAAAATTATTTAAATATATTTAATAAATCAACATATAAAAAATATTTATTAAATATATTTAAATAATTATATAAAGAGTACTGATAATAAAGTATCAAAATATCCTGATTTTTAATTTTCTTATTATTAATTAATGTTTATGTTAAAATTATATTTTTAAATAATGTATTACATAAAAAAGTAGTGTATCACCGTCCTAAACAAAACCTTATGCTATTAAGAAGCAAGGTATATGAATCATGAAGTCAAAAAAAGGGGGAAAGGAAGAAAGAAGAAAAAAATTTAAATACCTCGTTGTTGAAAAGTGGGATGGGCCTGGAGCTTGGATAATTTGTTAACTGATTTTGTTTGTCCTCATCTATCAAGGAGCTCTTCTTTCCATAGCAGAAGCTGATGAACTCCGGCACATTATCTAAATGTAAGGACCGTAGTTGGCTGAGCTCAATCTTTTGACGGGTTGCTTCAACAATCTCATTACTAGTCTCCCCTTGCCCCTCCTCATCAACAATCCCTACCATCTTGTCGCAACTATCTACAGAAATTTTTTGGAGTTGAAGAAGCTGTCTGACCATGGAGAGCGAGAACAAAATTTTGATCTGATGACAATCATGAAGACGAACTTCTTTTAATTTGCTAAAAGAAGTTTCTCCGACCCGACCATGAGTTATCCCCTCCAAATTCTGCAACCTGCGAAGTATTAATGTCTCCAAGATGGGAAATGCATTACTATCAACTCGATCTACTGAATTGACAATGTATTGCATTTCCAAAGCAGATTCGATCTGGAGCTTCTTCAGTTCTTGAAAACCTTCAACATCTAACTCATAAACTACATTCTTGAGCCCCGTCATTGTGCGTAGACGTAGTGCTTCTGTCTTTTCCAACAACTTTCCAATTGAACGATCAAGACAACTGCCCTTATTCATCTCCAGCCACAATGTCCTCGAGTAGTCTACAGAAAAATTACTTGGGTAGCATGGACCTATACTCATCTGAAAGTTTTCCAATCTTGACAACCAGTCTATAGCGTTTGTTGGTAAAATTCGGACATCCTGAATACTTAAATGTAAAACTGTCAGCCTATGCAAATATGCCAACTCAGTGAGGCTAGCATTTCTTTGTTCTCCATTCTCTGCAAGCTCCCATTGAATGCCCGGGCTACCATATAATTCTCGGTGAAAATATAATTCTTCTAATCTGGACAAATTTCTAATGCCATTTTGTGAAATGACTTTGAGATTATAACAACCACGCAAATCTAACACCTTTAGTAGCGTCAGCTTTCCTACTTCGCTTGGCAGCTCTATAATACCACCATGAATGCAAAGGACTTCTAAATTCTTTAGCTCTCCGAGTACAGTCACATCGTCCACTCCCTGAATAGTTAATGAACGGAGGTTTGTGAGGAAAGAAAGTGATAAACACGCGTTAGGCATCCTTCTGGTTGACACATTCAAGACTTTTAGTTTTTGCATTCCCTTAAAAAAGCTTGTTAGATCATTTCTCAGCCGACCATAAGGCTGCAGATGAAATAAAGTAAGCAACGGAAATTCAATATCATTAGGAAGATCGCCAATAACGTTAGCATCCTTTGATAAGAAAATGCAATTGAATTTTGTCAGTGCATCCATATCTAGCCGCTTTTCATCTTCCAAGAGTAACCCAAAATTATCTCTAGCTGCAATTGCCATGGCAACATCACGAACCACATCATGAATACCAAACTTGCGATTGCTATTAACATCAATCAATAGAGCAGCATCTTTGAGCATACTTACAGAAGTAAGTACTCTATCTCGTGTTGCTTTTATTGTGTTGATAATGGGAAATAAATCCAAGCCCACGGCATATCTCACCAAGAGCTCAATATTGTCTTCCAACTGACAAAGGAAACTGCAAAGCAAGAAAGTTTTCTTGGGTCCATCTGCTCTTAAATGGTTGTAACTGAACTCTATAGCTGCATATACTTCACCAGATACTCCTTCGAAGCTTTCTGGAGCGGGATTTTTTAGTTGTTCCAATGCATCATGCCACCAATCATCAGATTCCCTACCCCTTAAAGCTGTCCCAAGAGTTACAATTGCAAGGGGCAGACCCCCACATTTCTGGACTATCTGGATGGCTATTTGCTTCAAATCATTTCTTTCAGCATCGGCACCAACTACGTCCACAAACAGCTTCCAGGCTTCTTTATCTTGTAATTGGCCAACTTTAATATTTTTATCAGAACACAGTTCACGAGATAAGACATCTCGATTCCTTGATGTTAGCAAAATCTTTAATCCTGTATGTTCCAATGGAATCCCAATCTCGTTCAAATCTAGCTTGGCCCAAACATCATCCAGAATGACTAGAACATTCGTCTTGTCTTCCAGCATTTTCTTTATAGAAACATCAGGTTCCCTCTCTTCATTTCCATTAGGAAGCACTAGATCCAAGTCACGTGCAATTTCAGCTTGAATTCTTTTCAAGTCTGGAGTCTTTGTCACAGCAGCAAGAACTACAGCATCAAACAACTTCTCTTTATGGGATCTTCTTTTAACTTCTTTGGCCAGCGTTGTTTTTCCAACACCAGGCATGCCGTGCAGTCCTATCCTCTTGATGCTTGGTTGTTTCAGTGAGTCCATGATCTCCTCCAAAACTCTACTTCTTGAGTCAAAGTCCTGGAAACCACAATCAGCTGCGAACAGTGGCGGAGCCAGAAGGATATTAGGGCCCTAAAGATACCTTTACTTAAGTAAAATGTGACTGCACAAATGAAAAAGTCTGACAAAAGGATTAAATTAATAAATAAATTTATTTTAAATAAAATTTTTTGATGAACTTATTTTAAATAATTTTATTAGTCAAGTAATGTAAAAATGTAATCAATGAAAAGATAGCAATAATATCATAAATTGGGTAGAGGAACATTGTAATAGACAAGAAAATAAAAATAAAATAAAAAACTTTTAATGAAAAAATATTTTGGGAAAGCATGATAATAAACAATTTCTTACTTAATTAATCTTTACTTTTCCTCATTTTCATGTCTTATACCTTTTTTATCCATCATTAAGAGGGTATTTGACTGGAGAAAACTTACCTTTTAAAATTCTCTAAATTTTTATTTTTATAAGAATATTTACTTATTTTTATATATTAATATTATTAAAAAATAAAATTAATATTTTTAATCCTTATTTTTCTTGATATAATTTCTAATTTATAAATTTTCTTCTTTGAAAAGAAAATGTTTTTTCATAACCATCTTTATATTAGATCTCCTTAACAATTTTTTTTATATTAATTTCTTACCAAATACAATAAAATTAATAACTCAATAAATATCTAACAAAACTTCTTTACAAAATAATTTTTGGTATAATACTTTTTAAACTTTTTATGTGAGAAGTTACTGTATATGGTTAAGTATCCTTATACTGGAATAATAAAATTCTTCTTTGCCTTTCCAAAAAAATAAAAACTTTTTACGTGAGAAATAAGAATATAAATTTTATAATTTTTTTTATTTAAAAATACAAAATTTGTTAATTTTTAAATAAAGTGATAAAATTTATTTTATTTTTCTATTTAAAAGATATCAACCTATTTAAAAATTAATTAAATAAATTGTGATGCTAACGTGACAATCCATTTTTTCATAATCAAATTAAT